GTAATTTTTATTAAATGTAGTTAACTTATTTTTATTGTTTTCCTGTATTTTATTTATTATTATTTTTAATGTCTCACTTGTGTGTCCCCCACACGTTCAGAGTTTTGTTCTAATGATACACAACAGATGCATTTTCCTCTTTGAAACTCAATCTCGTCAAAAACTGTGGAAATATACCCACTGACCAGAGTTTCCAGTTTGATGCGACTGTAAATGTTTAGTATTATTATTTTTTACAACTTTTTAAATATTTATATAAAACATGATTATTATTACCGCTTAAGTATATAATTGGTATTTTTATTATTATGAACTACAGATTGTACTCTGATATTTGTATTTTAAATTAAGAGCGTCATTAAAGTCTCCCGGAAGTGGATAGACTCGCGCTCGCGCTGCAGCCTTGTGTTTCCTGTTTACGGGCGGGAAGAGTGAACCTGCGTTACAGCTCATCTTCATCGCAGCGCCTCGGTGTTGTTGTTGTTACTGCTTTCATTGGCCGCTCTACAGCGCTGATGGCGGAGCCCGCGGACTCCGGCGGTGGCGCGGCGCGGGTGACGGAGGTCCGCTGCCCTGCGGGAGAGCGTCCGCTGCGGCTGCTCGAGTGGAAGGTGAAGCCCGGGGCTCTGGTCAACGTCGACTCCGTCATCGCGGTTTGCGCGCCAATCGCCGCCGAGAGCGAGTCCAGAGCGGCCGAGAGGAAGCTGAAGTCGGACCGCGCTGGAGCCGTGCGGGAGCTGTGCTGTCAGCTCGGACAGGTCGTCGCGCCCGGGTAAGACCGCAGCGCTCTAACGGCGGACAGCTCGTTGTCCGTTACTTGCTTATTAGCGGAGCTAGTATTAGCTCACGCTAAGCTAACTCCCACGCGCCCGGGATAAACACGTTTAATGGCATGTGAAGGCGTTGCACGCGGTTGTTGTAATAGCACCCGTGCAGTGTTCGTATTACCAGCCAGATATCACTGAAATGTATTTCGAGAGATGTTAGCCCTGAGCTCTGTTAACAGCAAAACAAGAGTTGGGGGAGCGGCCCGCTCTTTTTAGCCAATCAGAAACGCTCTCTGCATGTCAGTCAATTCGTGCCCTGTGCTTTGCCGGCTTCGGATTGGCTGACAAGGATGTGGAGGGCGGGGCTTTGGACAGAAGGCGTGTTGTTGAACGCGTGTCTGATTCGATCGTTATCGTCTGTATGCGTGATACCCCAATGTTTACATGTCCAGCAGCAGGGTTGTTGCAGAAATGCTGTGGGATTTAAGACCTCCGATATTTAAATGAGAGTTTTGTGAATGTTTTGGCCATGTTTATTGCAGGTCTTAAAAAGTCTTAATTCGCCCTTCCGTAAATTAAAGCCTAAAAGGATTTTAAATAGGAGCAGAAAGTCTTAAATTCATAAAGTCGTGCCATTAAATGTTGAATACACCGCAATGATTTTTGTTCCCCGTACAAATATCGAAACTTCATTAAATCAAGATACAGTTACTTGAGATGCACATTGAATTCAAATTTGCAACAAAACAAAATGTATGCATAAAACAAAGACAAATATCTATTTTTCCCTTTGAATTAAGTTGGATTACATTGACGTTGGCAGATATTTGTTCTTGTTTTAATCATAAACTCACTTAATTTTGGTTCTAGGAAGTAAGTGCATCTTGATTTAAGAATTTTTGGACATTTGCACACGAAAACAAGACAAAAATACTGATGAAAAGCATCACTTTTTTTGCAGTGTGTTCAGAAGGTACCGTAAATGCTATTTCCACAGCAGAGCTATTCAAGCCTTAAGGTTTTTTTTTGTTGTAAAATTAATTAAAAAATGTAATGGAGATCTGTTGGGAGTTGTATTCAATTTTATACCTTAAAAGGATAGTTCCCCCAAAAATGAAAATTACCCCATGATTTACTCACCCTCAAGCCATCCTAGGTGTATATGACTTTCTTCTTTCAGACGAATCCAATCTGAGTTATATTAAAAACTGTCCTGGCTCTTCCAAGTTTTATAATGGCAGTGAATGGGTGTCGAGTCCAATAGAAGTCCAAAAAAGGGCATCCATCCATCATAAAAAGTGTCCCACACAACTCCAGGGGGTTAATAAAGGCCTCCTGAAGAGAATCAATGCGTTTTTGTAAGAAATTTATAAACCGTAATCTCTAGCTTCCGGTAACTTGTCGTACATGCGTTCACGAGAGAGTGGCGTTCTGGCGGATGACGTAGGCGTGAGCTTCGGTGAGGAGTGACGAACACAGAAGCACAGAGGAGAGAGCAAAACAAAACACTGGTCATGAATTACAAGTACAACAACGAGGATTTGTAAAGAAAAATATTGGAGGATTTTGATATACGCCAAGAGGAACCTGGTTTTCCTTTGCTGTGAACAAAACTTGGTTCTCGCAAGACTAGCATATTCTCACCGGAGTCAGGACATTTTTTAATGTAACTCCAATTGTATTCGTCCGAAATAAAAAAATCATATAACACCTAGGATGCCTTGAGGGTGAGTAAATCATAGTGTAATTTTCATTTTAGGGTGAACTATCCCTTTAAAATGTTTTTTAAAGGGGTCATGATGCTTTTTTAAAGATCATTAGGGCCTTTCGCACCGCAGGAACCTTTTCATAGTACCAGAACTAATTGTGGAGCTACCCACTTTTTGGCGTTTTCGCACCTGGGTGCGATTGTAGTTTGACTGCCTTTTTTGAGAACCAAATTGGCTCCTACTCCGGAGCAGGGTCTAACCAGCACAACTGGTACCAAAACTTTGCAAATAAAAAATAGCAAATACTTAAACTAATAACAAAACAGTAGCTGATTCGGTCGTCCATAAAATGCATTGCTGTTCTGTTGTAAGTAATCTTAAAGATTCCTAAATGCATCTACTTCCGGAAGGCCAAATAAAGTGCTTTTGCTTTCTCCTAGAAACACACAGCGTCTCCCTGACATGCTGCTTCAACACTAACTGCGGTTACTGAAACCACGACTTCTTTCTTAAATCTCATTTGTTAAAAAAAATCGTGAATCGAATCGTGAGTTGAGTGAATCATTACATTCCTAGTAAAAATCATAATCACTATTATTTTTGCCAATATTGTAATCACGATTATTTAACAAGATTATGAGGGGGCCATATGACCAAAACTTTATATGAGTGATTTATTTAAAGATAGTGATACATATCAAATATATATTTCCTGTAAATAAGGTTGCTATGACATCTACATTGTAGAGACAAAAAGTCCTCAAAATTATTGAAAATAATTAAACTGTCAGTAATAAAAAAGTAAAGGACAAATACAATAGAATAAAAAGATGCAAATGAAACAAACTGTGCTTTAATGTTTTTATGCAAGTCTCAAGCAGTTTACAGCCTACTACAGAAATGAATAATCAAATATAAAATAAAACCGCATAGCCTTCACTGTAAGAATTAAACTTTCTTGTTTCTTATTAAAGCTACAAAAGTCCTTCACTCAAGAGCCGTGTGTGATTTTGAATTTGTCTTTTGTTGTTTGGTTAAGATAAAGCACACAGTCGCAGCAGGAAAAATAGCCTGCTGTCACTTTAAGCCGCACGGATCCAATTTACTGTTACACGCGTATATTCATTCTCAACTCTTTACGTTTATTTATTACATGACCGACGAAGGTATACATAAATAATCACTAAGCGCCGCATTTTGACACATTTTTGCGTGTATTTCACCGCTTAAGGCTGATTTATACTTCTGTGTCGGACCTACGCCGTAGCCTTCACGCCGTAGGCTATGCGTCAGTTTTCATTTATACTTCTGCATCGTTGTCCGCGTCAACGTGCAGTACACATGCAAACCGCTAGTCAGCAGTGTCCACGGGCATGTTGCTGGTGTAACCCGCAGTACCACCGCAAAAGCCGAAGAAGAAGCGGCATTTGTGATTTACCCTTGTGACTGAAATATCACCATAATGCTGCTTATAGACTACTGTTCCCCAAGCATAATGCACATGGATGAAGAGCATTTGATTAATGCTATGTTTATTTCGACACGGTTTTGTCTTTTTAACAGGAGTGTAATAGCAAAAGTGGAAGAATGCAGCCATCCTGTTGTAATGAAGGGCTTGTGTGCCGAATGTGGCCAGGACTTAACTCAGTGAGTATATCCATCTTTCAGTCTCCAGTTCAGAATTATTTCTGTCCTCTTACCTGAGAAAGTAAAAAGACATCTGTCGAGAGCCATTCAAGAAAAGCTATTATTGTTTTCCCCTGTTTTTCACTTGTCTCGGCTCTTAGAGATATTTCTGCTAGTGTGTTTGAGTAACTGTATGGTGCTGAAGATGCTCGTATGTTTTCAGACTACAGAGCAAGAATGGAAAGCAGCAGGCGCCCATCTCTACAGCGACCGTTTCCATGGTGCACAGTGTTCCCGAGCTGATGGTCAGCTCTGAGGTGAGTGCCTGCAGTTTGCCGCTTGTGAGGATTGCGAGGCCCCTATATATTTCAAGTGAAATCAAAGAACGAACTGGTGTGATGCCATTTCATTCAAAATCAGGCCAAACGAACTTCATTTTGAATTTGCTTCTGAAGTTCAAAACCGCTTGCCAAAGCAACATTTTTGGAAACTTTGCTCTGGCTTTAAAACACATGACACTCTTGCTTGTGTGATGTTATTTATTATGAATATAAAAAACACAACCCATACAGGGATAGTTTTTGCTTTATAGGGGCATTCTAACTGTATTCTAATAGGCTTCATCACGCAGTGAATGCTTTTGGACTCTCAAGGTGTGTTTTTGTTTTTTGCAAAGTGAGTGGCATACTCGATAATGTCAGCTCACATATAATTAAAACAGAAATTATAATATTGTAATGATAAATAGCACACACCCCTATTGAGAGGAAAGCCTGCAGCGCATATTTCTATATTCATTTAATTTTAATTCAGATGATCACTAACAGTAAACTGCTGCAAGGGTATTTCAAGCTTTGAATTTTCTCCTAAGCGAAGAATGAAAAAGAACTTCACTGTTAAGTAAATGAGGACCTTTATGAGTAACGCGTGTAATTCATCAGACAGTAGTTTAAAACACACGCCACGTGTGTTTTTGTTTTTTGCAAAGTGAGTGGCATACTCGATAATGTCAGCTCACATATAATTAAAACAGAAATTATAATATTGTCATAGACGATAAATAGCACACACCCCTATTGAGAGGAAAGCCTGCAGCGCATATTTCTATATTCATTTAATTTTAATTCAGATGATCACTAACAGTAAACTGCTGCAAGGGTATTTCAAGCTTTGAATTTTCTCCTAAGCGAAGAATGAAAAAGAACTTCACTGTTAAGTAAATGAGGACCTTTATGAGTAACGCGTGTAATTCATCAGACAGTAGTTTAAAACACACGCCACATCTTAGTCAGGCAAACAGATAGTCCTGTCCGAAGCGCACACTCTTGGTTGTGCCAGCATTGCTGTGTTGGGCTGGTCAGGATGCTCAAACAAACAGAGCGATATTTCGATCATTTTAAAACGTGCAGAGTTTACATTTAATTATGATACATGGAAGCATTATGATCTAACACACTTTGGGTTTTTTACCTGTTTGGGTGTTGCTTTTATACAATGATGTTTGCATGTAAATACAGACAGTTTGGTATTTTTTTTGATGGTTTCAAATGGGCTTTAATAAGTGGTTGTGCATAAAATTGTTTGTCCATCAGTGTCCGGTGTTGAAACGCAGTGTGTTTTGTCCCTGTGTCTCTGTGAGCAGCAAGCAGAGCAGCTTGGCCGAGAGGACCAGCAAAGACTTCACAGGAACAGGAAGTTAGTGCTTATGGTGGATCTGGACCAAACGCTGATCCACACCACTGAACAGCACTGCCAGCGCATGTCCAACAAGGTAACAGTTAAAACGTTCGCACTACACTACCATTCAGACGTTTGGGGTCGGTAAGATTTTGCAAGGCTGCATTTATTTGATCAAAAATACTGTAATATTGTGAAATATTAATTATATTTAAAATAACTGTTTTATATTTAAATATATCTTAAAATGTAATTTATTCCTGTGATGCAAAGCTGAATTTTCAGCATCATTTCTTCAGTTTTCAGTGTCACATGATCCTTCAGAAATGATTCTGATATACTGATTTGATTATTATCAATGTTGAAATGTAGCCTATTTTTTGTAGAAACTGTGATACTTTTAAGTAAAAAAAACAGTATTTATTTGATTAAATCTTTTGTAACATTATAAATGTCTTTACTGTCACTTGATCAATTTCATGTACAGTCAAAACAAAATTTATTCAGACACCTTCAACATTTCACACATTATCACAGTTTATTCGCTATAGTTTAGAAAATGGTAATAAAATATGACAAGAACTCAGAGTTAAACTGTGTCAGAACAAATTCATCTTCATAATGTCAGATAACACTTAAAGGGATAGTTCACCCAAAAAATGAAAAATTGATGTTTATCTGCTTACCCCCAGGGCATCCAAGATGTAGGTGACTTTGTTTCTTCAGTAGAACACAAACGAAGATTTTTAACTCAAACCGTTGCAGTCTGTCAGTCTTATAATGCAAGTGGATGGGAATCACGACTTTGAGTCAAAAAAACATACACAAACAAAACCAAATTAAACCGTGCGGTTCGTGACGATACATTGATGTGTAAAGACACGAAACGATTGGTCTGTGCAAGAAACTGAACAGTATTTATATAGTTTTTTACTTCTGATGCACTGCAATGTCTGAACTGTCCTGAGCGCGTCCTCGACAGCCGGCGTGTGACGCGTCGTCTTCTTCTTCTTACTTTACGGCAGATCGCACACTTATAAGTGCATTGCCGCCACCTATCTCTCAAATGGACCATTGACACTCTATCTACAATCTCAGTTAGGAGTGTCAATGGTCCATTTGAGAGATAGGTGGCGGTAATGCACTTATAAGTGTGCGATGACAGTTTAGACATTGCAGTGCATTCTTTACATTCATCTTTACACATCAATGTATCATCACGAGCCGCAGAGTTTAATTTGGTTTTGTTTATGTATGTTTTTTTTACTCTCAAAGCCGTGATTCCCATTCACTTCCATTATATGACTGACAGACTGCAACGGTTTGAGTTAAAAATCTCCGTGTGTGTTCTACTGAAGAAACAAAGTCAGCTACATCTTGGATGCCCTGGGGGTAAGCAGATAAACATCACATTTACATTTTTGGGTGGACTATCTCTTTAAGCAAAACATGGTAGAATCAAAGTGTCTGAATTTCTTTATCAATTTTATTGGTAGTCCACTGAATGAAGAATTTTTGTATGTAATATGTCACAGTTTACTTTTTGCTATCCTCACTTACATAAATGAACAATAGTGTCCCGCACCCACTAGTAATAAAATATCAAAAATGATACCTGGTGTCTGAATAATGTTTGATTTGACTGTATCCTTGATGAATAAAAGTATTCTCATTTATTTTTTATTTTTTAGAAGTTCAAAAGAACAGCATTTATTTGAACTAGAACTTATACATTTTAAATACAACATTATAAATCTCTTTACTGTCACTTTTGGAAAGTATCAGTTTCTTTAAAAAGAAGTCTTAATACTGACCCTAAACAGTAGTGTAATTAAAATGTTCATGAACAATAATGCTCAGTATTTATTTTATATTTCATGGATTTTGTACTGTTTCTGCTGGTTTTAGTGTTTTTTTATGAACATAATAATATGGCATTTGTTTAATGTCAATGGTGTGCTGTGTTATTGTGATTTATCTACAATACCTTCATTTTGTTAGAGTTTATCACTAACCAAAATAAGATCATGCAGACAGGTTTTCTTTGACTTCTTCGTGATCTCATTTGCGTATTTCTGTGAACCCCAGCGAATGTGGGTGTAACTGGAAGCGTTGCTTTGAAGAGCCTAAATGCAGCCGAGCATTGATTGATTTCTGTTTAAATGACTGCATCATACTCTCTTTCTCCGCTATCATCCATTTTCGATTCATTCTTCTCGTAGGCATTACCGCTTTCATTCTGCCAGGCGTGCATTCGCTCAGTAGATCAGCTCGAGCAAAAAACAATCTCAGATATTTATACCAAACAATTACTAGAGCTATCAAAGACTCAAATGCTTTCCTCAAAATTTTGCCAGTGTGCTGCTTTTAAAGCATTTTCCAGAGCATTTCCATTGAAGTTAATGTTCCTAAAAGCCTCTGCTAGAGCTGGGCAGGACTGAAATGCAGCAGTATAGAATATGCATATGCTTTTCACGCTAAAGCAGATGCACTGCCATCCAAATGTTTAGATGTACTTTCATTTTTAGAATACTAGGACACGTTTAATTGATCAAAGTAAAGACTTAAATGAATTTTCTCTAACTGCCTTGCAATGTTTCTCCAGGGAATCCTTCATTTCCAGCTGGGACGGGGGGAGCCTATGCTTCATACACGACTGCGGCCTCACTGCAAAGACTTTCTAGAAAAGATCGCCAAACTCTATGAGCTGCACGTCTTCACCTTTGGCAGCCGTTTATATGCTCACACCATTGCAGGTACATGAATAATACTGATAACTACTGATAGGTTATCCGAATTTCTCACCTGGTGGATGATAAAACACATCAAACAGTCTCGTAACTCCTAGTGTTTGTGTGAGAGGTTGTGTTGGCCTTTCAGAGTGACACCAGGTGGCAGCATTTGTTCATATTCTGAGTGTTTTGAGTTTGAGGACGAGTACATTGTTTGCTGTGTTTGGATATTTAATGCAACATATTAACAATAAATGCATCAAAAGTGTCATCTGCAAGAACCGTCCTGTTATCTGCTTTGATAAAAGCATCTGCTAAATGACTAATAAACATTAAATCGGTTTAGTGATTTTGTTTATTATACATGTCTATACTAACCTATACATTTTTCAGTTCAGTTTTAGTTTTGGTTCAGATAGGACTTTGCAGGCTATCTTCAGCACAGTAGATTTCTCCGTTTCGGGTGTGTGTAGCATCCTTTGAACGAGACCTGAAGAGTTCTTGCATTAAGTGTTTGGCAGCTCAGCATCGGTACTTCCCACAAACCCGAGTGAGGAGTCTGGTTGTGGTGATTCATATGGACACAATCAGCAGTAGATAAGACACAATAAAGGAAGTAGCTCAACTTTTCTGAACTGAAGTCTTGATTTATAGTGCGGGCAGGAGATTGAAAGCTTGGCAGGGCTGCATCTTTTTATTTTTCCTGTTTTCCTTTTATTACAGCTGTAAATAGTCTCAGTTCTGTCTGAGTGAAACTACAGCATTTACTGTTGTGCTCATAAGTTTACAATGTTAATAATTTTCACAAAATAAGAGGGATCATGAAAATTGCTTATTTTTTATTTAGTACTGTCTTGAATAAGCTATTTCACATAAGGGTTGTTTATATGTGACCCTGGAGCACAAAAGCAGTCTTAAGTCGCTGGGGTTTATTTGTAGCAATAGCCAAAAATACATTGTATGGGTCAAAATTATAGATTTTTCTTTTATGCCAAAAATCATTAGGATATTAAGTAAAGATCATGTTGCATGAAGATATTTTGTAAATGTCCTACCGTAAATATATTGAAACTTAATTTTTGATTAGTAATATGCATGGCTAAGAACTTCATTTGGACAACTTTAAAGCCGATTTTCTCAATATTTATATTTTTTTGCACCCTCAGATTCCAGATTTTCAAATAGTTGTATCTCGACCAAATATTGTCCGATCCTAACAATCCATACATCAATGGAAAACTTATTTATTCAGCTTTCAGATGATGTATAAATCTCAATTTCGAAAAATGTACCCTTGTTACTGGTTTTGTGGTCCAGGGTCACATGTATACTCCACAAGACAAAATAAAACTGAATTTATAAAAAAATGACCCTGTTCATAAATCTTAATCTGTAAATCTTAATACTGTGTGCCATTTCCTGGCTGATCCATGACTGTTTTTCTGTTTTGTGAGGGTTGTTCATGAGTCCCTTGTTTGTCATGAGCAGTGAAACTGCCCGCTGTTCTTCAGAAAAATCCTCCAGCTCCTACACATTCTTTGGTTTTTCAGCTTCTTCTGCATGTTTGACCGCTTTCCAGCAGTGACTGTATGATTTTGAGATCCATCTTTTCACTCTGAGGACAATTGAGGGACTCAATTTGACCAATTACAAAAGGCCAAAACATTTACTGATGCTCAAGAAGGCAACACAATGCATTAAGAGCTGGAGTTTGTAAACCTTTTGAATGGGATGGTTAGGGTAGAGGTCTGTGCGGGACTGTTTTTTTAGTCCCGCTCCCGCAAGGTTCTATTCCGCACCCACCCGCTCCCACTATATATTCACTCTTTGTTCACCCACTGTCCTCTTCGAATATTTTTCTTCCCGACCCGACCGTTCCCGCTAAATTTAGATCTCGTTTCCAGAATCTCACATTTAAATTTCCGCTACTGAAAGAAAGAGAGATAGGCTGACAAATAAAAGTGTAGTACGCACAAAATTGTGTTATTTTATTAGTCTTGTCAAGAGTCTTGAATTTATTGACTTTAACTTGAATTTATATGAATTATCTTAAGACACAATTTTTTGTAAATATTTTATGCAACACAGTAGGAAAAAAGTGTTCGAGAAAATAAAAATGTTTTACAAAAATTGTATTTCTTAATTTTATTCGTCTTGTCAGGATACAATTCGTTTTAACATTGACAACACAATAGGAAAAAAGTGTCGCAGAGACAAAAAAAAATTAAAATGTAGGTTTTACAAAAATAGCCTATTAGCTATTTTTATTCGTCTTGTCAAAATACTAAATTCGTTTGACATTTTTCTGTTAACACAGTAGGAAAAGTGTCGCGAAAGTTGAACGTCCTTCAAGGATAGCGCATCCACACTTTGCTCCATCCTTGTTCTGCTCTGTCACTCAACGACAACCTACCTGTTCTGTCTGAGGGCCGTATATTTACCACAGGTACAGCCTGCGCTGGGCATCGTTATGCACAGACCCCGCAAATAAAACGCGTGACGTTTAAAGCATGCGTGCAGCGCGTACATAACAGTCCTGAGCGCAAGCTATACCGGTGGTCAATAAGAATAAAGCACAGATATGCTGTTCTAAATGGACGTCGGGAACGGGATATTGTTAGACCGCCCGCTCCCGTTCAAATTACTCCAGAGTTACCAACCGCTACTGCATTTTATTGGGGAATTTAATGCCACGGCGCAAAAAATCTGGTCGGAGAGCCGCGGGCATGCAGACCTCTAGATCAGGGTAAATTGTCCTTATTTTGTCTTCTGAGAAACATGTATGCATTTATGTAGCTTCTGAAGTGCAGTACTAAATGAAAAAAAACATGATCTTTAATCAAAATAAGAAAAATGTACACATCATCATCCTGTTCAAAAGTTTTTTTTATTTTATTTTTTTTACACAAAGTTTTATTTTGTCTTGTGGAGTGTATATAAACATCCGTTATGTGAAATAGCTTATTCAAGACAGTACTAAATAAAAAATAACATGCAATTTTCATGATTCCTCTTATTTTGCAAGCGGTATGTAACTTATGCGCACAACTGTATAGCTCTGCTTGCAGCTGTAATTTAGACTTCATCTTTAAAAGAAATGACTGTTCCCCCTCTCTTTCTCTCACTCAAACCAATCTTTCGTTCTTTTTCAACAGGTTTTTTAGACCCTGAAAAGAAGCTCTTCTCTCATCGCATCATGTCTAGAGATGAATGCATTGACCCCTTCTCTAAGACAGGCAACCTCAGGTGAGGCACGTTTCACTCTTTTCTGTCTTCTACTTCTGGAGTAGTGTAGCTCCCAGTGTCTTTCTTGTTACAGTTGTTTTAACAATGAACTTGCGTTCATGACATGTTGTAGATATGAACTTCATCAGCTTGCTGTTACAATAACATGAAGCATCACATTCAACTCATTTACACTACCATTCAAAGTTGTTGTTTTTTTTCAAATCTGTTCAGCAAGGATGCTTTAAATTAAACAAAAGAGACAGTGAAGACATTTATAATGTTACAAAAGATTTCTGTTCATCTAGGAATCCTCAAAAGTATCAGTTTTCAACATTAATAATAAGAACCATTATTAATAATTGAGCTCCAATAATAATTGATAAAAATTGAGCAGCAATTCAGCATGATTTCTGAAAGATCTTGTGACACTGAAGACTGGAGTAATGATGCTGAAAATTCAGCTTTGATCACAGAAATTAATTACATTTAAACATATTACAATAGAAAAAAAAATGCTCAGCAAACTGGAAATTTGCCCTAGTCACATGGCCTGCGGTGCGCTTGCGGCATTCTGAAAAGTTGAGAGGTTTTTATCTCGCTGCAGCGCAGATGCACCTGGAAAAAACACGCCTCTCTATTTGCGAGCGCTTGCAACGGGCCTACATTTGAAATAACGAACTTGAGCGAGCAAAAGATGCGATATGTGAACGGCCCCTTAAAATGCTACCTGTGTACCGGCTCACTAGGTATTGGAACACAGCTATTCTTCTTCTGTTCAGACTATCAATGCGAGTAATTCCTGGTTCATTTTTATTACAGATAAAGTTTGGTCACAAGTATTACTGAAGAAGTAAATTAGATTTGCTTCAGATTGCAACATTTTTTGGGGTGGAGAAGTAGTTTCGCTCGCTCTCCAGCAGGGAGGGTTTAATAAGAAGCGACGGTGGTGTTTTAATAAAGGTGCACGTGTGTGACCTCTCTCTGTGAGCTCTGAAATAATCTGCTTACCAGAGGAGAGGAGCGCACCGCATTTTACAGAGGTCAGCAGAGGTCAACGTGCCAACCAGCAGTGGGATCTATTAAACTGATCTGAAACAAAGTTACAGGGAGAACAGGGGTTCAAGAGGAGCTTCTCTTTTGAATGTTAAAGCATATTTGTGGTTGACCTTCTGTCTGTACATGGTGTGAGGGATGCGCAAAACTACATTTTTAAAAATCAATTAGTGAATGTTTGTCTGACCAACTAGTGATCTAACTTTTTGACTTTAAGGCCCATTGTCCACAAGAGTATCTATATCTATAGGCACTCCTAGTTTTTGTAAATTAAACAATAAGAGTAATAATAGTTACATAATTAAAAATAAAATAAATCAGTTTCTGGACTAGAAGTTTTAGGAGCTGAATGTTCTTCAGGGAATATTTAACTTCCAGTTTTTTAGAGCGTGGCATAATTTATAACACTGTGCCTGTGTTCACACACAATATCAATTAGATTTTTGGCTGTATGAATACACTAGTGTATGTGCATAAAAACCTACTTTGAGCTTAATTGATTAATTTACCTGACTTTTCTAGGTCTAGAAAATCGGGGTGTGGCCAAATAGTCTAATATTCGGTCTGTATTTGTTATTCGAAAAATAAAAACACTATTCAAATTTGACTACGTGTTGCTTTGCTGGCAGTAAATGCAAGGAATCCGGGATAAATCCTGAAGCCCAGGCATACATGGTGCGATTTTTGCTGTCATACAAGCTAGTACGCAATTTTTTTTCCCATCGGGAGAAATCGCATGGAAATCGTTGATGCTCATATGGCCGTGGCTCGCATCGTGTGAGAGTGATTTACGGCTCGAGCGCCTCACGTGCTCACGATGATTTTTAAACATGTCAAAAAAGTTCGGGAGCTGTCGGCTTGAATTCGTGTGGTGTGCGCAGTTGAGCCGATTTGTCGATCTATCTATAGTTGACCAATCAGGAGCTCAGGAAAACGACAGAAGAAGAAAGACGATGGCAGCGCCATGGTGAATTTGGACTATTGAAAAGGAAGACAAACTCACTT